CCTATCAAAGGTCATCTACTTTAAGTTTCAAATGGACAGCAACTGCCTGTTTTCCTCTACATTTGTAGATTCATTATGAATACTCTGCCTAAACAACCTATCAAAGGTCATCTACTTTAATTATAACGCTCATTAAAAATTATAAGATAAACCGATATAATCACCAACGTGATTAGTAGAGACAAAGAAACATCAATTAGAATTATACCTTACGATACATGGGCTAAACGGCCAGTTGAGAAACCCCTAAAGTTCAGGTATAGCCGTCCCTAATTTTGATCTACTAACCAGAGGGGGCGACAGCTGTAATCATCAACCTGATGAGCAGAGACGTTAAGAAATCAAATTATAAAAACTGCTTTGTTTGAATTGGATATAAACGTGGGTGTAAAGAAATTTATCTCAAACATATTACAAACATTAATTTCAATAACCTCGTGTTTGTGATTATCTGCAGTAATAAATTTGGATGCTTGGTAATATTGAAAGTGGGAAATAAATATCATGACAGTAAGTGTTGAACGAACATAACGATAAATGGGTCAACAAAACGTACAATAAGAAAAACTGCTGAGCGTATATATAATGATTCTTGTTATAAAAATCAAATAGGAAATATGGAAATATTCCATTCAGTACAACGATAAACCTTGCCTTTTTGTAATTTTTATATTTTACTTACAACTATATCCGATCAGATAAAATTCTTAGAAAGAGATAACTATTAATTAAGCCAGAATGTATAATATTCATTTACCTAAAGTAACTGTCAGCAGTTAAAATTATTAAATATTGATATTTGTATTTTCAACCAGGCGGCGCCACATACGATACATGGACTAAACGGCCAGGTGAGAAACCCCTAAGGTTCAGGTATAGCCGTCCCTAATTTCGATCTACTGACCAGAGGGGAAACAGTCATCTAGCAGCATCCACCGTCACAAGGGCTTTGAACAAAATAACGTGTTTAACCATCACTTTTACAGTTGAAAGTGGGCAGAGCGCACAGTTGCATCGCAGGGCTAACCTTGGAATTGCCCATCTGCAGTCTGGCGTCTTAACTATTAAACCACACGCAGGCGCATTATATGATAGATGACCTTTCAAAAAAGATAAACTTACTATTCGCAGTTTTGCACAGGCAGGTGTATGATAATATATTTTTATCATTTAGATAAATTAGCATCCTTACTTGCTTCACTTCTTTAACTTCCACTTTTGTGTAACACAAAGCCCTATTCAGCAGCTTGTTTGTTTGCATTTAAGTACAAAGTTACACAATGGGCTATCTGCGCTATATTATTGAACAGAAAAAAAATGTTTAACATCGTTAATTATTAAAAACAATTGAACGTTATAAAATGTGTTAGAATTTTCAGATTTAAGATTACTCTAACAATAGTAAAAAGTCAATATTATTTTATGGTTGAACTAAGATCAATTCTCCTCCAACGTATGTGATTAGGAAACTACTAATATTCAATGAAACGAATAATGATAATACTTTAAATAAGAAAAAATGTAGTGGAAAATACATTGCATTGGCTAAACCTCATAATGTAATGAAATAGGAAACACGTGAATAAATGATAACATAGAAAGCTAGACTTTATTACCTTTTCATGTTGCATACTTAGTTTGGTCATGAAATGATTCACTTAATTCAAGTTTCCGTTCGAAAGAAAATAATCAGCAAATCCAATAATATGTTTAATCATTACCTGCACCATTTTAACCTCACATGATTCAGCAAATCCAATAATATGTTTAATCATTACCTGCACCCTTTTTACCTCACATGATTTTGAAGTTATAGAAAAGAACATTATTCTAGAAAAATATCAAAAAATTATTCATAACGATCTAAAACATTTTAAACTTGCTTGTCAAAGCCCAAGTGTTGGGCACCTAATACTTGCTAAAAAATCGAGAAATATAACAAATATACGTCACTTAAGATATACCTTAAAGCCGAAGCACAAAAGTCAAATTCATCTCCAGATTACCAAAAAATAAATGGTATTCAAAAGATCCCGTAACAAAAGAAAAAGATCGAAAACTCGTTATGAAAGTACGTGCATCGATAGCTACTTCAACCAATTTATGGGACATTCTATAGAAGAAGAAACAAGTAAGTCCAACAAAGATAAGAAAAAGCATAATTACTATCTAATACTCATGATCCTTACTTTGAAGTTCCACATGGAGCTAATTATCAACTTTCGGATATGTCTGTTGGAATTGTCACTTAATATTAGGTTCTGTTGTTGAGGTTAAAAAAAAATAGTGAATGAACTAAAAAACTGAAATTCTTGCTATTACTTTATAATCTCTCTTGTGGCATTTCTTAGTACAAATAAATTCGGAAATTATTAAAAATGCACTCGAAACCAATTAACTACATTCTGTACATAGACAAAGATGATTGGTAAGAATAATATGACAGCAACTGTAAAATACATTTTCAGGATTGGTCCCCACTGCCCGGTAAACTTACGGATTTGCAATTTTAAAATTTAGGGCTAGGTT